ACTGTGGGCATCCAGAGCAGACCATACAACGTATAACGACGCAATGACAGCTCCACAAACACGAATGCGATGCACATCCGCTGCTCCTGACACGGTTGTCCGGCTTGACCACCGGAATCTGAAATTGTGGCTGATGCTCTGCATCTACATCAGTCGGACGACAGAAGAAGGGCACCGATGGTAGCCGTGGCAGGGGATTGAACTTGGGCCGCCGGGTTTCGTAGCACGGTACATGACTGCTCATCACACGTGATCCACACACACACACGTGATCCACACACACACACTTGATCCACACACACACACGTGATACACACACGTGATCCACACACACACACGTGATCCACACACACACACGTGATCCACACACACACGTGATCCACACGTGATCCACACACACACACACGTGATCCACACACACACACGAGCTTAGACAGTCGATGCACCCTCATTGTGGTATTCTGCAACAACAACGACCGTTAGCATGGACCTGCTATGGCTTGGTTGGCACACATTGGGGTGGTGTAGCTACCAGCACCTTCGATGAGCACGGTTGGCTACGTACGGCGCGAAAGAAGTTCGTCATGCGTGCTTTACTTGTTGACTGTTACCTTACTGAGAGTCAAAGTGTTCTACCGTTCAACCACCGCTCTGCTCCCCCCTCTCTCTCCGCCTCTTCCCTCGCGCCGCTCAACGTTGAAATTCCCCCCCATCGTCTATTCTCCCAAGTTCTTGCAACTTTGCTTAATAATAATAATTAAAAAACGATCAACGCTTATCTCTTTCTGCTTTCAGTAGCGCTGTTTTGTCACTGCTGCTTGGGGTTTTGGGTATTTTGAGCCTGTAACAACAACAACAACAAAATATCGTACGCCTTTGGATTAGTTACGCGGGTTTGTCAAAATTGCTTTCTCGTTCCGCTGCTGGACGCGGGCCTACCTACGCACGCCGTGTTGGTCGTGGGGGTTGTTTGACCATACTTCGCCACGCTGGTCCGTCGTTGTTTCAAGCGGAAACGCATGAGTATTTCTAGATATTCATAATAAAGGTTTTTGGGTTAGATCGCGTTATTTATAAATGTGTCGTAACCCTCCACCACCCGACACGGCCAATCAGCAAAACAAAAGTGTCACGTTGACAAAAGACAAATAGTTCACTACTTTAGCCCACCGGTGTGTTGAAGAGTGAATCCACAACATTTACAGTTTGAGTACGACGTTTCGCTGGTAAATACATCCAGCATCATCGGGCAATTCGCCAGAATGGTAAAGCCCTCACTTGCTCCCGGTCTTAAATAGAGCAGCAGGGTTATGTCATCATTTAACTAGATATGACAAATTCTTAGCTCTTTCGGTAAAGCCACGTTGAAGGGAAACAATAAAATATATATAAAACAATAAAAATTCTCACGACGTTTCGACCATAACACAAACGGTCGTCATCAGGTGTGTCGGTTTGCATTAATTAATTTATTTTTAAACGGTGTATTTATTTATAAAAAACGTCAGCGCCATGCGCAGCGATTTGGCAGTTTATTTAGAAGGACTAGTCCATCTATGTTCTGAAAAGAGGAGGGGGGAGACGAAAAATTTAATTTATGCTGTCTGAAAGCCACTGTAGGCGTGAACAATCAATTAAGACCTGAAATGGTTTATCAGATCTTTCCAATGATTGCTAAGCCAGAATCCATCTTCTCGGTTGAAATTGTCTTTACCGAAGGAGCTAAGAATATGAATTACTGCAGTCACGAAAGCTTGAAATCAAAATTTTAGATATGACAAAATTAACAGACGCAAGCAACTAATATTGCACCGTCAGAGCACTGTATTGCATTTTTGGCATTGTAAATGCGGTGTAAGATACTAAAGTAAAATATTCACGTAATTTTTTTTTCATGAGCAGAGAAGGTAAAAAAATGTTCTAAAATTAAAAGACGCATTCATCAAAACGTTGTGCGATTAATCACACGGACGTAAGGTATCTGGAGCCAATCGATACATTACGAATCTTGTAATACTGTGGATTTTTTTGTTTGTTTAAACCCGCTCCTGTAAAAAAACACACCAGCTGATTGAATCGGCTCATGCCAATCAGCTAAATTTACACGCGGAGTTGACCTGGTCTCGGCTTGGAGCCAGGACAGGACGGTGGCTAAAACACAAGCGGCACACGACCACTGCCGAACTCAAAGTGGTGACCAACACGGGGGGACTTTATCCTTGAGGTGACCGTTCAAAGAAATGAGATGCAGCCGTCGCGCGAAAATGCAATCTCAGGTCGCATTCCCCATCTGCCTTTACCATTGCGGAGATTTGGACGCTCACGTCTTTGCCAAAAGGGAAACGGACATCAAATGCGGTGAAAGGTGCAGCCCTGCAAATTGCGGGTGGAAAGAGGCCGTCAGACTCTAGGGATCCTCTACAGAGGTGCCTTCTCTAGAGGAGATTTGTTGTTTTTTTTTCCATTGGCCTACTCTTCCACGCTGCCCAAGCCACCTGGGAAGAGGTGGGAGTTCCCCATGCTTTGCGCGGCCTGCCGACCGACCGTCCGACCGACCGACCGCGCTGCAACCATTCACGCCGCTGGGTCGACCGAGGCGGTGGGAGCTAAGAAACTGCCGCGCCTTTTGGGAGATTGAATCGAACCGGGCGACCTCTGGATCGCGGGTCCGGTATGGCTAACCACTGCGCCGCGGCGGCTTCACGTGACTGCGACGAAACAGGGAACTTTATGCTTGAGTTAACAAAGATATAAGCACCAACAATCGCGCAAAAAATGCAATCTTGAGTCACAGATTCCCATCTCCTCTCCCGTCGCGGAGATTTAGGTGGCTGCACGTTGCTGAAGGGAACGGACTTGCCTGTTCTACTTATATATTTATTTGAGAACCCATTTTGCTATTCTCACCTGTCAGTGACCCTGGGACTCCGCACAACTGCACAGGAAATTAGATGGTGTGCCTTTGTTGAATATTCCATAGGCCCAAAAAATAAGGTGTTTTTTTCAGAAAATAATATTACCGTATTGCACCGAACCATGTGCTATAGACTCGTCCTTGCTCCCAAGATCCGCTGGTCGACCGGCGGTGTACAGTGAGGGAAAAAAGTATTTGATCCCCTGCTGATTTTGTACGTTTGCCCACTGACAAAGAAATGATCTGTCTATGATTTTAATGGTAGGTTTATTTGAACAGTGAGATACAGAATAACAACAACAAAATCCAGAAAAACGCATGTCAAAAATGTTATAAATTGATTTGCATTTTAATGAGGGAAATTAGTATTTGACCCCCTCTCAATCAGAAAGATTTCTGGCCCATTCCAGCCTTGTGTAGGTCTACAATTTTGTCCCTGACATCCTTGGAGAGCTCTTTGGTCTTGGCCATGGTGGAGAGTTTGGAATCTGATTGATTGATTGCTTCTGTGGACAGGTGCCTTTTATACAGGTAACAAGCTGAGATTAGGAGCACTCCCTTTAAGAGTGTGCTCCTAATCTCAGCTTGTTACCTGTATAAAAGACACCTGGCAGCCAGAAATCTGTCTGATTGAGAGGGGGTCAAATACTTATTTCCCTCATTAAAATGCAAATCAATTTATAACATTTTTGACATGCATTTTTCTGGATTTTTTTTGTTATTCTGTCTCTCACTGTTCAAATAAACCTACCATTAAAATTATAGACTGATCATTTCTTTGTCAGTGGGCAAACGTACAAAATCAGCAGGGGATCAAATACTTTTTTCCCTCACTGTACGACGTTTTAGCCTCAGGGATGACTCCCTCCACAAGCGACTCCACCCAGTCGCCCTCCCCCCCCCCCTGTGCTTTTAAGTCTCTCCCAAAAAACTAAACGCCGGGCTGCCCCCCCCCCCCCCCCCCCCCTTCATCACGAGATGTTAACTCCTTCGCTTGGTGTGCAGGAGGTCGTGGCATCTATCCCGACCCTGAATCGTGTATATTTTGGAGTTTGCGTGATTCTCTCCCCGTTGTCACGTGGATTTTTCTCTTGGTCCTCCGGTTTTTCCCTCCACATTTAGAAAAGTGCATTTTGAGTATTTGGCCGCTATACATTTCCACATGATGAGCCACTTCGTTGAGCTTTCTTTTGTGGCCAGGTCGCTTCAGAAAAACAGCTATATAGCTCAAATCAACAAAGATCCTACCAATCGCCTGGCTACAAAAAAACAACAATATCATCACTAATTCGACGTCTCTAATCCAACCAATCGAGCAGCTCTCCCTAAAACCTTCGGCTGCTAGACCACCCAGATTCTATGGTCTTCCAAAAATCCATAAAGAAGGTACTCTACTTCGTCCCATCGTTTCCACCATCAACTCAACCACCTACAAACTGGCCGTATTTCTGTCTGAGACCTTGCGTCCATTCACTCGCAAGACTACCTCAGCAGTACTTAACACAGCTCACTTGCGTTGCGTTCGAAACGTCGTGATTTTTTTTTATTTCTACCCACGTGACTTTACCGAAAGAACCAGAGTACAGCTCAGTGGGCCTTGCCTGCTAGAATAAAAAATAGTTGCATTAGCTTCCGTTCTCTTCTTTCCTTGTTCAACTCTCCCGTTCCTCTTCAATACATTATTTGCTCTCTGAGATGTCTGTCATGTCATGAGTGCATCGTAAATATAAGCTGTTGTTGAATGAGTGAGTAGGTGGGTGTGTGGGTGAGTGGTTGAGTGCGTCAGTGGGTGACTGAGTGGGTGAGCGAATGGATGAGTGTGTTCTTTACGTGTATATGTGAGGTTGACCTTCTTTAGCAACCTACGTAGCCAGCCGTGCTAATCGGAGGTGCGGCGGAAAGACAACAAACTAAACACAAAAAACAATCCCTACCCTTCATAGTTCTCTCCCGTTCCCCTACTGCTCTTCGCATGTCATTCCGCGCTCCGGTACGCTCGTTTACGTCACGGGCGCGTTACTAACGTAGTTTGTTGTCATCGTCGTCATCGTCGTCATCGTTGTTGTTGTTGTCGTGACGCGTGCAGGGACGATGGTGCGAGAATGAAGGCGCGCGGTCGCCGTCGGGAAGGATGCGTCGGCGTCCGTTTGACCTCCTCTGCTGGCTGCTGCTGGGGCCCTGGATCGCCGAGCCCTGGCTGGCCTTGCCATCGCAGGCCATCGGACCTGGCCCAGCCTCCAGAATTTTGCATTCCCTCTCTCAGCAGCAGCAGCAGCAGCCAAAGCAGCTGCAGCAGGTGTCGCAACAGCAGCAACAGCAGCAGCAGCAGTTGAGAGGTGGCGGCACGGAGCCTCTATCATGGCTCCTGGCTGAGAGAGGGCCGTTCCACCACGCTCCGGAATATTCCTACTTCAGCGACTGCTACCGCCAGGGTTTCACCACCCGCTACCGCATACACAGGTGGGCAACGCGGCAGCCCGGGGCTTCGACGATAGAAGCGACTTGGCCACGAAATGCTAGCGCAACGAAGTGGCTTATCGGGTGGAAATTTATGGGAGGCAAATACTCTAAAACGCTTGTTTCTTAATGTGGAGGGAAAAAAACCAGAGGACTCGGAGAAAAAAATCCATGCGACCACGGGGAGAACACGCAAACTCCAAATATGTAGGCGTCGGGGTCGGGATCGAACCCACGACCTCCTGTATACCTGGCGAGGTAGTTAACATCTCCTAGCCACCGAGGGTGCCCCATGACAGACCGCCACGGCAATGGGGGGAGCGGGAGGTCTTAATCTGGCTGTGCCTTGATGTCCGGCTGTGAATGATGGTTGTTGTTTCTTATTATTATCATTGTTTTCCATTCAAGGGGCCAATGCCGTGACCTCGCGCCACCAGCGTGCAGATCTTGGCAAGGCGCGGGACGCATGGGGGGATGGTGATTGGGGGTAGGGGCTGGGAGCGACACGTGTCGCCAACTAAGACTTGCACTTACGCCGATGAGGGCGCAATTTAATTTGAGGGGCAACATTTCACTATTAAATTTTGATAAAATGTAACTGCAAGGTTTTGAGACTTTGAACTTTTGCAGCGTAATCTCTGCAAGTTATTTGCCGCGTAATGAATTGCGGCACGTGACCTGGGCACACAGTGCCTAGTTTTTTTTCTTTTTCGAAGTTAACGTGAGCGTGTGTGGCTCTTTGTCAATCCGCTGCTCGATGAAGGCCTCTATACGGCCCCGTCGGTCACGGGGGCTTGTTTGACCATACTTCACCACGCTTGTTAGTTCGGGTTTGGTAAAAGCGCAAGGTGAGGGCAACGGTTTTCAGATGTTGCTCGCCAATGGTGACATCAATTATGGACGGAATTTGAAGTCGGGATCAGAATCAGAATATTTATTTATACTGGAGGAATCCTATGAGCTATGAAGCTCCTTTTCACAGATGTCTAGTAGGGGCAGGTAAGGACGTTATGACAACAAACAGGAAAAAAAAAACATGATAGTAGTGCATAGTTCATGAAAGGTAAACAAATCACCCATACACATACAAAGCCCACTGAGGTATTAACTTATTTTTCAGAGGCGATCTGGTCACAAATGATAGCTCAACAAACAAAGTGGCCCACCATTTGGACATTTATAGCACCAAAGTAATAAAATAAACTCAATGCATGTCTCTAAATGTGGAGGGAAAAACCGGAGGACCCAAAGAAAAAAAAAATCCACGCTACCACGGGGAGAACATGTAAACACCAAATATAGAACAGGCATCGGAGTCGTGATCGAACCCCCAACCTCCTGAATACCAGGCGAGGAAGAAAACATCTCATCACCGTGGGATGCCGGGTTCATAGCTTGGTGCACTGACCCGTGCTTCCACCACTGCATCCCGTGTGTATAAGTTTCATGGGATTGCTGGAAGCATGCTATCTGATGAATATCAAGACATTAAGACAGCGTCCGTAGGGTCATTCGTAATTATTGAATGTCAGATGCAAGGTGTCGCAGAGGCCACGTGCTAAGTAAAAAAATATATAAACTAAACACACGTTGGCCTAATTAAAGTTCTAAGATCTCCTTTGCAAAATAGATTATTTAAATTGGCTTCCACCCAGTTGAATAAAGGACGGCGATTGATCGATTGATCGAGATGCCGCTGGCAAGTTCAGATATCACTTGCCACCGATGTTATCCATAGCCAGGATTCAAACTCGGGTCACCGGGTTCACAGCGGAGTGTGCCAAGGACTGTGCCACTGCTCTTCATCGTTAAACACTCAATCTGTAATTGATATGTGAGGAATGCACACTGACACTGGCCCGTGAACGCTTAACTTCTCTCCCGTCATTTTGCGCTCCGAGCCATACGTGTTGAATTCTGTGCGCACATTGATCACGATTGCGTGTGGACAAGACAAAACGCAGGATGAGGTACAGAGACACTAAAATACAACCGAAAGACCTTGGCCGTTCAGCCATGCGGTGTAATACAGCACCGTTAAGCCTACGGTGCAATGCGATCGCCCTTCGTTACAAACCCGAACTGCACCTCACGATACCCGATCCATCGGGTACCAGCTACCGTGGATCCAGACTCGCCCAAAGAAAGCCGACTTATGGCATCGTAATCATCATCGGCCATGTTCAATTCACTGCTTGTTGAAGGAATCCCCTGAGCCACCGTCATCAATCTCTCACCAGTCTGTGATAATAATCCGCCTAGCAGCTGCACATGAGTTGATTCCATCGCTGCGTCTCCTCGGTGGGTGTGATTTTGGACACGTTCCTTCCGTTATTACTGTTGACTATCATTTCCAGTGTTTGACAGCTATTGTAAATGTCCACGTGATAAGCCTCTTCGTTGAGCTATCATTCGTGATAGCCAGGTCGCTTCTGAACAACAGCTGGTGGGCTTCACCTGGGAAAATAAAAAAAAATAGTCTGTAGTTATTTTCTAGGGATGCGTTCTGCCAAAGCGCACTTATTCATTATAATATCCTGGATGATTTTGATTTAAAGCTTTCGTGACTGCAGGAATTAATATTCTTGGTTCTTTCGGTAAAGTCACGTAGAAGGGAAACAATAAAATAAAAAATATATAAAACAATACAATTCTTACGACGTTTCGACTGCAACATAAGCAATCATCATCAGGTGTGAAACCACAGCAAGAAAATTAGAAAAAAGTAGCTTTTTTTAAGTTAGCACCACGGAGAGCGATTTGGCAGTTATTCAGATGGACGAGTCCATCTATGTTCAGAAAAGAGGAGGGGGGAGACGAAAATAACGGATGCGGTCTGAAAGCCACCGTAAGCGTGAACAATCAATTAAGACCCGAAATGGTTTATCAAATCCTTCCAATGATTGCTAAGCCAGAATCCATCTTCTCGGTTGAAATTGTCTCTGTGTTTGTATATGTGGATAGCATCATGAACGAATCTTTCATGGTAGCCAGATGGCTTGCAAAGAACCTCTGTCTTGGAGAAGTCAATGTCATGTGAGCCTACTGAATTATAACAGTGATCTGCCACGGCCGAGGTGTTGGTCCTACCGTGTTTTAGGTCTGCTTTGTGTTCACGAATGCGGTCCGAGACATGTCGTTTGGTTTCTCCAATGTAACTACTACCACAGAGGCAACTTAGTTTGTAGACGCCAGGGTACTGTATGTCCGGAATCACATCTTTTACAGACGGAACCAGATCACGGATTTTATGTAATGTGTTGAATCGGACCTGGATCTTGTGTTTATTCAAGATTTTGGAGATCTTTTTTGTGATCCCCGCAATGTAGGGTAAAGTGATGGTTTTGAAAGGCTCCTCAAGACGTTCCTTCTTCATGGTTGGAGTGATAGTTTCGCGGATTGTGTAGTCGGAGTAACCATTAGCCTTAAGAGCTTGGTGTATGTGCTTGAGTTCACTGGCTATGTGTTCCTGGTCGGATATGCATTGGGCTCTATGGTGCAGTCTTGATGAGGGAATTCTTCTGGGATGGATGGTGGTGGGAATCCAGTTTCAGGTAGGCATCCGTATGGGTAGCTTTCCTGTAGACAGAGCGGCTCATTGAACCATCAGGTCTCTTTTTTATTAGGACATCCAAAAAAGGTAGCTTGCCATCTTTTTCGACTTCCATGGTAAATCTGATGGCTGGGTGTATGGAATTGATGTGGTCGAGGAATTGGTGTAGAGCAGGCCGACCATGTGGTCAGATGACAAAGGTGTCATCCACGTACGTCTTCCATAAGGTTGGGCACAGAGTGGCAGTCTGGATGGCATCAGTCTCAAATTTCTCCATGAAAATGTTGGCTACAACTGGAGATAGGGGGGAGCCTATTGGGGTGCCCTCAGTTTGTATGTAGAAAGTTCCATTCCAAGTGAAGTATGTATTGGTTAAGCAGTGTCTCACCAGGGGGGGTACATCAGTGTTTAGTCCAGTGGTTCTTAACCTTGTTGGAGGTACCGAACCCCACCAGTTTCATATGCGCATTCACCGAACCCCTCTTTAGTGAAAAATAAAATGTGATTTTTTTTCAAATTCAAGACATAGATATGTTTTTTACTGGTACACAAAATGAGCCGTGCATGAACATTACCTTGTTCAAAGAATAAAACCAACACAATGCATAAACTCACAACAAATTACATACCTGGAAATCAATGTGACTTCTGCTGTTGCCTTTGAGAGATCAGTTCAGATATGCGTGGCTTCACCTTGGCAAGTGCCACTCTCATGTCATTTTCACAGCAAAGTCTGTTCCTTTTCTTCGTTTTTATGTCCAGCATCCTCGAAAAGGATTGCTCACAAAGATATGTTGTAACAAATGGTATAAAAAAAATCCAGGGCTTTCTTAGCAATAACTGGATACTTGTTCATTTGTCGACACCAAAACGTTGAGAGCGTTGTTGTTCTGAAGAGTTGCTGTTGAACCTGGCTCTGCTGAATTTCAATGATTTCGTCGAGGAATTCATTATTGACATCTGCTGTTTCAACAGCAAACGTGAACGGCTGTCTCACCCATGCTGGATATGACTCTCTTGTAGGGAAATATCCGTCGAGAGACTTTGCAAGCTCATCTAAGTGCGTGGCAATTGTTTGCTTCAGTTCCGTGGATACAGAAATATCTCCGATTCCAGACACATCTTCGATCTTACTTGCACAGTCGTCCAGAAGCGGGAAGTTTGCGAAGTTATTGTTCTCTGTTCGTCGTTTCCATAACGGTAGCTTTTTTTGAAAAGCCTTCAGGTGTTCTTCCGCTTCCATGATATTGACTCCACCACCCTGCATCTGCTGATTGAGATGCTTGAGAGCTGCGAATATATCAGCCATGTACGCTAAAATGAGAATGAACTCAGGATTTTTGAAGCAATCTGCATGGCAGTGTTGGTGCTCTTGCAAAAACAGGGCTAATTCCACACGCATGGCAAAAACACGATTCAGCACCTGTCCCCGGGATAACCACCGAATATT